ATTCTTTTGATGCATTTGTGATCGTTTGAGTGTTAGGAAGGAAAATATATAATGAGTATATTCAATCTGTTGACTTTAACTGGAATTCTGTGATGGAATATTCATTCTCAACTGGAAGCAACACTTCACGCTGTTCCCAGCAAGCAGCTCCAGGCCAATGTTTAACTGCCTCCAGTACCCCCCTCTCATTAGAAGAAACTCATATACATCCTGGCTAGGTCCATGTTGGCACCTTGGTACCATTCTACTAGCTATTTAGCAGCTGGCTTGAGGAATATATTCTCAGCTCTAGTTCTAGGCTATGACTTAGATAGGAAGTAAGCAGACATTTTATCTCCATTCAAATACCCTGGAAGAGCCCCTGGAATACAGCCAGTGAGTTAATTCCTTTTTTTTGATCACTTACGAGGTCTCTTACTATTATTATTTGTGCATTTGTTCAACATACATGACTGAGCATCCATGTGCCAGGTGCTCTTCCAGATGCAGAGGACATTACAGGGAAGGTGAAAATTACAGACTCAGTTACTGATTTTGTAAAGCCTTGCATAATGACAGTAATGGTGAAATAGGGGGAAGGGACGAGGTTTTCTTACCCCTGAGTCACACAAGCTGGTGTGTGTGTGTGTGCATACCTTTCCAAGAGGTATTCCTCTCCTTTTTTTTGTTGAGACAGCCTTGCTCCTGCTCTGTTGCCCAGGCTGAAGTTAAGTGGCGCAATCTCGGCTCACTGCAAGCTCCATATCCCAGCTTCAAGTAATTCTCATGCCTCAGCCTCCCATGTAGCTGGAATTACAGATGTGCACCACCATACCTAGCTAATTTTTATATTTTTAGTGGAGATGGTATTTCACCACGTTTGCCAGGCTCATCTCGAACTCCTGGCCTCAAGTGATCCACCTGCCTCGGCCTCCCAAAGTGTTGGGATTACAGGTGTGAGTCACCGTGTCCGATCCTTCTCCTTTTAATTCTTGCCCCTCATCTTTCTTCCTTTAACCTCTTCTATGTCTGGTATCCCCACAACCGTCCCTTTCTCCTTATACCCACGACCCCTTCCCACAGAAATACAGATAGTCCCCAACTTAATGATGGTTTTACTTAATTTTTTTTGACTTTATGATGGGTTTATGCCAGTATTAAATGCATTCTTGACTTCTTATGATGTGTTATAGGAACATGGTCCCATTGTAAGTCCAGGTTACAGTAAGCCCTGTAACCAGCTCATGCCTGTCTCAGCATTTTCGGTCCCCTCAGCTTTCCCAGCCTTCCACGTTGGATGCCAACTGCTTTTCTCCTCCTTCAAGTGATAGTCACTCTATAGGGAGAAGGGATAACTTGAGTCCACAAGGGTGAGAGTTTGTCTCTGGGAACTGGGGGCAGGGGGGCGGGGTGCTGCATCAAAAAGATACTACCAACCTGGGTTGTACTGACTTTCCCCTGGGTTACCTAAAATCAAGCACATCTCACCGCCTCCAGGATTAATTTCTTTCAGAAACTCTCTGTTCTAACCTGTATGACATATACCATTTTCTCCTACTCATTTTGACACTCTTACTAGCAGAATTAAATACCCTGGACTTATTATGCTAAAAGAGCATTCACTTCCACCTTGCCTTTGAGATAATTTATCAGACACCTCATTGTTATTTGACAATGAAGAATGTCCAAGTTGCACCTCCCTAAACCCTGGAGGCAGAGGGGAAGTCTCAGTTCATTCAGTCACAACGATAAGACTTAAAATGTAATCCCTTTGTGTGGTTTGTTAACAAGATTAGATGATATTTTTTGGAACAGAAAACATTTCCAGTATAAAATTTCTGGGAACAAAGAATTTTCTAGAAAGCAGATGTCTTGTTGTCTACCTTTCTATAGAAATGAAGTAGACCATTACTTTCGTATTTTTAATGTTGAATTCTTTTTAAGGAGCAGTAAAAGGCAGAAAATAAGCCAGTCTTTTCTTTGAGTAGTCCTAGATTCTTTCAGGAAATTTAGTTAGCCAAGAGCTTCATCATCAGTGAAAACTGAGAACCAAAGTTTGGCATATTATTGAACTTTTCCTCAAACACCAAATGAACAAGTAATCTGTGCCACACTTGGAATCAACTAATAGACATAAAGTGATTTAGAGTCCCCAATAATTTTGACACTTGTTTAATAGCTCACCAATGTTCATGCCAGCCTTCTTTAAGAACTGAAATGAAAACTATTCCTGTTTAAAGAGTCAGTATGTTCAGGCAGAAGCAGTATGGCATAGGAGTTAAGAGAGCATGTTCTAGCTCTGGGCTGTTCACATTGGCAGACTGCTCTGCCAGTTACTAGCAGAGTGACTATGCTTCCTCTGCCTTAGTTTCCCCATCTGTAGATGCAAGATAATATGGTACTTTATCTCACAAGGTTGTGCAGAGTTTCATTTCCGTTTTCTTATTTTAGCATGTCTGTACCAGGCACTGTTTAAGATCTTTCAGATATTATCTTGTTTAGTTCTGATAACTCTGTAAGCTGTGTTCTACGATTACCTGTTAAACCACAGAGAGGTTAAATAATTTAGTTAACACATGCAACATGCTTAAGACAGCACCTAAGTAGATAGCAAATGCTCAGTTTCAGCCATTATAGATCAACACTCTACCTATCCCTCTGTCATAGCAGGTTCTTGGCTACAATTATCAGTGTCCTTCAGACAAGTATCTGTAGCGCAGCAATGGTGCAATGCCTGGCATATAGTAGATAATCAGTAAATGATGTTTAAATTGCAACTAATGAACGTTTCCTTCTCTTCATGATCTATAAATCCTTTTCAAAACACAAAATGTTGATTAAAAAGAAAACGTGGACCCTCAGTTGTTCCCCAACCCTTTTTTCCAACTCAGGCAACCCAGTTCCACTCCCATTCCCACTCCCCAGTAAGCCTTGAGTGCAAGGATACCCACCTTTACCCTCTTCTTTCTGGTTTTACCTTGAGGATTCTAGGACTGAAGTCAGGCGGAAGGACTCAATTTCTACGGAGACAAAGGGGATGTTGTAAAGCATCCACTAGGGGGCGCATTATCAACAGGCCGGAGAAGGCCAACAAGATGGGTGAAAACGAAGGTTCTGCAAGGGACGTGAACGTTGATGGGAAAATTTCCATTACTCTCATCCTTAGCTTGACAGATGAACACATTGCACTTTTCTCAGTCAGCTTTTGCACAAAGGTCTAAATTTTGTCTAAGGGGGAAGTGATCTAAAACAGGGAGTCGGAGGTCCCTCGCCTGTTGAGAAAGATCCCGGCTCTACCTGACCTGAGGAAGAGTACACCGCGGCCAATGACTCTGCTGCCCGGGCCAGACTTTGTGCTTCTGAGCTGCTGTGCCTCCAAGCCCAGTAAAAGGGGTTCAGAGAGTGGAAGAGAAGTCAAGTTTGGCCAAGACAACTTGCCCTGGAAATGCAGCCAACAAAACCCACTGAGGTTTGGAAGAGAGATGCTGTCCTTATTGAGACGCTTTTAAGGTTACTTTATACCTATTGTGATTTAAATATCTGCTATATGCATAGACAGTCCTTATTAAATAGCTACTAACTTTCTTTCAGAACAATTGTTTGAAATCTTACTCTTCTTTGCATCCCTCTGACAATGTTTACCCCTCTGACAGCTTTTCTTCATCTTTCTCTCTTCATTTCTTAATGAGATTTAAAGAATCCTGGAGGAGGAGAAAATAAAAAGTAAAGCTCTTACTGAACTCTAGTAACCCAAGCTGAAATTTGAAGCCCTTAAGCCTTTATTATTGAAAACCTGTCTCTCCACTTCTGCGTGGGTGAGTTCCCAAGGTATAGGATCTTCAGAATCTCCAGAGCTAGGCCCTTGGAATTTCAATCTCATTTCTTCTCTCTCCCTATCAAGGGGCCACCTTGAAGGCTGGCTCTGGCAGAGCCTTTGTGTTATAGATGTTGGCAATAATAAACCTGCATATCCCACCCTTCCCCAGAAAACAGGAGGGGGGATCTCTTTTTCTTTCTGATGCTATTTGGAAATCTTAGGGTGGGAGAGGGTAGGCTTTTCAGACCCCAATGCTTAAAAGCGTTTGGGAGAGGTTCAGAAATTTTCGGAACACCTCTGATTTCTCCCAAATCATGGTTCATATTCTATCTATGTCCCTACTGTGTATTCACACAAGGAAAGTGTTGAAGATAGCAGAAATGAGGGAGGGAAACCTGTGTACGTCTACTATATTCCATCACTTTACAGATATTATCTCATTTAACCTCCCAGCATTCTTTCTGGTAGAGATTATTATTCCCACTTTACAGATGAGGAAACTGAGGCACAGAACTGTTCAATAATTTGTGTAAGGTTATACATAAGTAAATGGCAGAGGTTGAATTTGAACTGAGAGTCTTATTTTAAAAATCACCTTTTAAAAGCTAAACCTTAGCCTCCTTTTCTGAGGTGGTTATTATTCCTGTTTAGGGAGAGGAAGGAGGAAGTGGTTTAAACAAGACTTCTGGAAAATAGTAGTCACCACGTAATGAGATCAGCAGTCTAGAAGCCTAATGGGGCAGGATTGAGGAGGCAGGTTTTGGGCGGCCCTTACAGGCAAACTACTGGTGTTCAAGACCAGGTGTCAACACAGGCACGAAATGGGGCTTGAGGCCAGGATGCCCAGCCAGACTTTCTTCTCCACTGAGCCTTCTTTGCCCAGGGCATCACAGCAAAAATCACATTTATACATGACTGATTCTTCCCTTTCCAATAAACACAGCATCTATGAAGTTGTTTATGGTTTCCTAAATTAATTCCATTGCTAATATGGTCTAAATCATGAGTGTACTCATCCCCAAATCTTTTCAGTGGTTTCTGAAAGCCTCCTTTGGCTCCACCAGGCACAGAGAGCTCCGGAATACAGACCTGGTTTGCAACATTTGGAGATGATGTCTTAACTTCAGCAAATTCAGTTTACCAAACTTCTGACAATAGACAATTCAGGCATATTAAGCCGGAGACTTTGGAGACAGCTGAGGTCTATTCCTCGTTCCACCACTTTCTGCTTACTTGGTTTGGGGGACCATAATGAATTTCTCTGTACCCTCAGATGACCCTCCTGTTAAAAACAGGTAAGAATTTCTTCCTCATTGGTTGTAAGGGAAATTCAAAGATGTGTAAACCCGGACATTCATTAAGTGCTCAGTAACTTTTGAGGCTATTATTGAGATGAGTTTTCTGTTGCACATAGGATACACAAAGCAGATCCTGCTATTAAGAGGCTCATCATATAGTAGAAGAGACAGGTTCATGGGCAGATTAATGAAATTGCAGAGTAAGAACTACAATGACATATGGACAAGGTAAGATGTATACCCACAAAGGGGGAAATGAGCTCATCCTGGGTAGGGGTGGGGCAAGACAGCTTCTTGGAGGTGACAATCAAAGCCATGGGTGGATGCCCAACTTTGGTTAACCTGCAGCCACAACTTGGATGGCCAAGATTCAATCAACGAATGTCAGCTATTTGCTTCCAGGACTCCCTGCTTGTTAGTCTTGCTTTGAAAGCAAAAACCTTTTGACTAAAATTGAAGGGTTTTCTTCATGGGGAGCTTCAGATGCTGAAATAATCTGTCTCCAGCCACTGTAAGTTAATAGCAACTCACACTTAAAAGCTGGTTAGAGTTCAGAACATTGGAGGAAATGGTGAAGGAAGAAGTTAAGTACCTACTGTGCATATGTGAGCAATGGCAGGTAGAAATTAATATTTTTGAGGACCTAATATACCATAAGCACTGCGAGGTACTTATTAAATTTAATCCTCATAGCCACCCTATGAAGGTTTTACTGTCTCTTTACTGACTCAAAATATTTAAGATGTGTGAACAGGGTTGCATAGTTAAGTAAGTGGTAGAATCAGTATTAAAACCCAAAATTTGTCTGATCTCAAAGCTCATGTTATTTCTATCATACCAAGCAATCTCCCAAACACATTTACACATGACTGTGCTCCTTCCTTTTCTAAAAGCATGGGGTTTATAAAGTTGTTTATGGTTTTCTAAGTTAATGCTATTGCCAATATGGCTCACATGGTGAGTGTATTTTAAGCATAAACATGAGAGGTGCCCTTGAGCACAAGAATCTTTCAACATGTCTATCATAGATCTTGATTGCACTAATGGCCCTGATAGTTGGCTTTTTGGTAACCACACTCTTTTCAATGTGACTTTGCAGCTTCTCCCATTAGGAGATAGAATCTTTTTCCCTTCTTTTAAAATCTGGGCTGCTCTTGTAATTTGATTGGTCAATAGAATATGGTGGAATGACAGAGCACCAGTTCTGAGCCTAGGCCTCAAGAGGACCTGTGAGCATGTGCTCTTACTTGGAACCCTGCCAGGCCTGGACCAGCCAGCTGGAGGCAGGTGAGAGTCAGATGGAAAAAGGCCCCAGTCATCCCAGATGAAGCCATCTGAGATCAGACAGCTTCCAGCTGACCTGTTTGTTAATCACACACACAAATGCATGAGTCCCATCATGCTCAAGTGAGTCTTGCCAAGATCAGCAGAAGCACTCAGTTAACTGGTGGATGGATAAGAAATAAATACATGCTTTTTATTTTAAGCGACTAATTTTGGAACAGTTTTTAATGCATCAGTAGTTAATGAATATAACAAAAAATAATTTTCTTGTTAATTAGTAGTCAATAAAAGCAAAACATTGATTGTTTTAATTATTAGTCAGTACTCCAACTTTAATTGTTCTCTAAACCTGCTGTACAGTTGTCATCTTGGGATCTCCCTATGTCATCACCTTAAGAACTCCTTCTACTTTGTTTTCTGAAACTCATGTCCTCTCCTCTCTTGGTAACTCCCTTGTTTTGATAGAGTACGTCCTTTGGGAGTTGTCTGTGAATGGGTGAGCAGGTTTGGAGACTATGATTACCTAAAATGTCTTTATTCCATCATTATACTTAATTTGCAGTTTAACAAGTTAGAATTCTAGTTTGGAAATAATTCTTTCAGAATTTCGAGGCACTGTATCATAGTCTTCTATCTTCCAATGTGGCTGTTGAGAAATCTGATTCTATTCTGATTGTTGATCCGCCATATATGTATTTTTCCTTTCTAGATGTTCATAGGATCATTTCTTTGCCCCAGGTGTCATGAATTTTTAAGATAATATGCATTAGTGTGGGTCTGTTTTTATTCATTTTACTAAGTACTCACCTTGTCTTTAGTCAAGATATTCATGTTTTAAAGTTCTGAGAAATTTTCTTGATTTTTTTCCTTGGATGATTTCTTCCTATTTGTTTTCTCTCCCTGTGACTTTTATTACAGCATTTGCATGTTAAATTTGCTGGACCAGGTGCCAATCTTCCCAATGTATTCCCCCTCTGTTTCCATTTCTTTGCTTTTGCTCTATTTCTGAGGGTATTTCTTTAACTTTATTTTGCAAACTTTCTGTGAGGTTTATTTTTAAATTTGTGCTCTCACATTTACATTTTTAAAAGCTTCTTTTTCAGGTGTTCTCTATATGTTCCTTTTTATCCTGGCATTGTGTTCTTGCTTTATAGATATACCATCTCCTCTTACCTTACTGAGGGTATTGGTGACCCTTATTAGAGAAAGTTTCCTTCTCTAAGCAGTTTCTTTTCTGTCAAGGTACTTTTTCCTGTTTTTTATAGTCCCTGACTTTAATATTAGATGCTTTCTCCAAAAGTCTGGTGCTCCTTGGTAACAGCTCATGTGTGAGAGTAAGCTACAGAAAGCTGACTGAGCTTTCTGGGTGCCTGGTGTGGCTTGAGATGCCACCTTCATTGCAGATTGCTTTGTTGGGCCATTTCTTTGGGGAACTACCATGTTAATATTTTTAGAATTTTATCTCAGGCTTATAAGATTCCCCAGAAACACTGAGCTTTGCCTGGAGAACATATGCCTAGCTGCCAGTATTCTGAGAGCCAAGCTGGGAGAGAAGGATAGGGAATCTCAACACTCTTTAAGCATGGTTTCACTTTTTCAGCATGGCCTTTCTTTTCTTTTTTATTTCTTTTCTTTTCTTATCTTTCTTTTCTTATTCAGGGTGTCACTCTTCACCCAGGCTGCTGTGCAGTGGAACAATCTCAACTCACTGCAGCCTTGACCTCCCAGGCTCAAACATGATCCTCCCAACTCAGCCTCCCGAGTAGCTGGGACCACAGGTACACACCACCATGCCCAGCTAATTTTTATATTTTTTACAGAGACAGGGTTTGCCATGTTGCCCAGGCTGTTCTCTAACTCCTGACATCAGGCAATCTGCCCTCCTCAACCCCCCAAAGTGCTGGGATTACAGGCATGTATCACCGTGTGGTATTTCTAATGTCAACTGTGTACGTGCTGTTGGACTTCAACCAGAGACTCTCTTTTTCCCTGTCTCCAGAAAATAAACTTCTGATCTTTTGCTGAGATTGGGAAAGGATGGTATTCAGTTACACAGAGTAAGGAAGGGGACCTGGAATTCTAACTGCTTCTTACATAGACTTTAAGCTTGTCCTCCTAATCTTAGCCTCATCTTCCCATTCATTTTCAGAGTAGCTACTGAGCCTTTTGATGGTTCTGTCACATAAATCTGGTTGTTTCTCAATTTTCCACACTGCAGGCTTAGGAGTCAGCTTTTCCAGATCTGTTCATTCAGTTACCAATCAGCTATCACTTTTCAACTTCAATTTTTTGTTGCTCTTGTCTCTTCTTCCAATCTTTTGAACTCCATTGGTTGAATCCATCTGGAAATATCTCTTTATTTTCTTTTTAGAGGCTTACATGAGGGAATGAAGGTATGTACACTCTCCTCTCTTTAACTGGAAGTCCAGGAGTAGTTCTTGGCTTTAAAAGAATGAACACGTTACTATATCTCATTTAGTTTGAAACATGTGAACCACAGATCAATCATAGAAAACCAAATTTTCTCCAAAAGAAGACTTTCAAGTTGATAGAAACCCATTTTGTTTTTGCTTTTTTAAAAAATAAAATGAGTGTGAGGCTTCAGCCACCTCAGATACCTTTGACTTTGTTCCTCTAAATTACCCAGACAGTGCCAGATAAGCACAGTTCTGTCCCTCTCAGCCTCCCATTCTTTTAAATTAGAGACTTCTGAGTCTGTTTCCTTTAGTCTTTTAATGTTAGCCTTTTAATATTTTCCAATAAGTGCTTTCAACTCAGCAATATACATATCATGCTTTCCTCATTATTATTGATCCATCAATAAATATACAAAAACCAGAGGAAGGGTGTGCTCTGAAAAGTCAAAGTAACAATAACAGTGGTCATTGTACAGTACAAGAATGAACAATGAGCTATCCTTTGAAAACTCAAAACAAATGATTTACACAAAGACATACCTATAACATAAAGGTAAATGGAGCATGTTATTCTTGTTCTTAAGTACATTTTGCTTTTCCAGATAAGTCAAATGTTTCCTCTCTCCTACTCCTGATATAACAGTATTGAATGAATGTTGGTTACAAAATCAATTCTTGGTGTTGTTATGAATCTCAATATAAAACTTTTTGAAAGGTTCTGCTAGAAAAGCCAATTCTACCAGGCTTGAAATATGGATTTGAAGATGTCTTTTGTCTCATTTGATTTTTCACTCAGAGCTAATTTTAAGGGAAGTCCTCAGGAGACATAAAAGATTTACAACTGCAGGAAAAATTACATCTTAAGCTCTTAGGTTGCTTTGCAAAATAACTAAATGTTGGCCTTTTACTTTTATAAACAAGACCCAGTTTAATGACTTAGCCCAGGTCATCTGGAAAATCACTGGTAAAAATGACATGTAGTCAAGCTGTGCTTCCAGAGTTATGCCCTTGAGATCAAGAGAGTGAGAATACATCTTATTCCATAAACTTCAGGCTATGTTTATGTTACAAGGGTTTGTAAAGACTTGGGCAGCTCTCCATTGACAATGGCCAAGGAATAGAAGCTCTAGACCTCTCTTATTTCTATCGTGAAAACAGAGGTATATCCAAGTGAGGGACTACAACAGTAATAAAGGAAAAAAGTATTTAATTCCAAAATAAAATTGAAAATAATCTCCTGTCTCAGCCTTTTTGTTGGGAATATCTAGAAGGGGTGGAAAACCATCTCTGGCTACGAGACTTGTATCACTACCCCTCTCTCCCTGGGGGGACAGGTAGAGGCTGGTGTAACCATTTTGAACCTTGTCCCAGAGTGACTTGTTGCATTTCAGTTAAAGAGCTTGAGTGAGCCTGTCTGGGCCTCTGGCAGACCCAGTAAATCTCTGGGAAAACAAGGGGCACTTGCACACTAGTGGCAGGAACAACACATAGTGACCTAATGTCCAGTTTCTTTCAAATTGAAAATAA